AAAAAAATTGAAGTATTTAGTGCAATTTTAAATTTTGAGGCACTCTTACATTTTGACGTCATGTCCGGGACAAATGAAGCGCCTCGTGTATGTCCTACTCAACACTACGTCCTATTCAGCATTACGTTTAAGGATCGTGATATATTTTGGCTTACTTCTGCAATATTTAATAATAATAATAAAATAATTTATTTGAGTTAAAACACCATTACAAAGAATAAATATATAAAAAAGTAACAGTGAACAAAAAAATAAAAAAGGAAATGTTCATACAAAATTACGATATAAGCAAACTTCTAAGTATTTCATAGAAATTCTTACTTAAGAAAAAGGTAAAACATTAAAAATAATTGTAAGATTAAAAGCCACCACCATTTTTTAAATTAAAGTTATTGTTAATCTTTTCGAGTTACTGGAGACAGAATTGAGCTGTTTTAACCAAAAAGGCTGAAGAGGTGAAAGTAGAAGTTTTGTCTGTAAATTGTGGTTTTATGTTTTTGAATACTTTTTTATTTGATGGTAATTCGTTTGGAGCTTTTAGATAACATAAGGTTATTGCTTTATTTTATTTATATAACAGTGAAAATTAACATATCTGATGGGATTGGGCGAAAAAAAGTATGGATTAAATTGATAAACTGAGATTTATTAACATGATAACACACAACAAACAGTTGACACAAGGGAGAGTATAATACAACTAGAGTGACACTTGTCGTATAGACAGTGGTTCCCCCAGTAAGCTATTTAACTATTTAACCAGTACTAGCATACATAGCCTAATTTTTATGGTCAAATATTATAGGCTTTCCTCTGATAAATGGTTTTGGCGTAGTGTTTTTCGTAGTATTTTTTGAACAGCCGTCCTCGCTACAGCTGGAGATGCTGAAGCCAAAAGTCCAGAAGCCTCGACGGTTGTGACCTCCACCCTTCTTCAATAACTGGTCAGCGGAGGCCTGAGTCGGGACTCTGGCACATTCGCACAACCCGAACTCCTGAGGAGGAGAAGTTTTAACGCTTTTGAGGATTTGGGCAATCTTTGCGTCCTCGAGATGCTTGCGTAGCTCGGCGTTCTCTTCTCTTAGGAGCCTGATCTCCTCGTCCTGCTTTCCACGTCCTCGTATGGAGTATCTGCCTCGACCCATCGTACGGCGGGGTGAGGGGTGCTCGGACTGTGTCATTCCTCACGTATACATGTGTACACGTTGCAAGGTACTTGTAGATGAACGGCTTAGTCTCATATGACCGTTGCGGTACTGGTGTTAGGGTAGCCATTGTGCGAGTGAGAAGAAATCTGATGATATGGCACCATAGGTCATGAGTGCAGGGCTTAAGTTGCTGTCTTGTTGAAGTGCAGTGCGTAAGCCTAAAAGTATTGTAGGTAACTCTTCTGACCATTGCGTAAACTTTTCGCGCGACATTAGTGCGGTCTTCATGGTACGATGCCATCTCTTGATCTGTCCATTTGCCTGTGAATGATAGGCTGTGGTGCAAAGTCTTGTGATGCCAAATTTCTTCATTAACGAATTGAATAAGTTCTAATTGGTGCACAATATTTTTGGTTAATCCATCTTTAGGTAACACAAATAGATTCGAAGGTTTTCCTACACGTGAACATGCTACATATACATAGTTGCCCATGAGAAAAACATGGATATTCTAAATCTAAACCACATATTGACATTGTTTGGCCTTGAGACTTATTTATTTTCATGGGAAAAGCTAAATGATTGCTTCTAAAATATTTCCGGTGTTTTTTTTGATTTATTTATTTATTAATACTACATAACAACCATCCTTACAGGCTTACCCAATACAATGGTGTAGACTTTATTTAATAAACTTTAAATTAACTTACATAACTATAACATTTTATAACAAGTTATACAAAACATTCCTTGTGAATTCATTCAAAGTGCAATAGAATATGTTCGTGTCCTGGGATACATTTATTCATTTATTCATTTGTAAAAACACTTTACGATGCAATATATAGTAAACGTTGACGTCCACACTAGGCTAGGCCTGTATCGTATCATAGTTAAGAATGTGTAGTCATTTATAGTCATTTATTCTCTCTTCACAAAATACTTGATACACATCATCTTATATAAATATACATTAGTGAGAGACTGGAGCCCGTGATGGGTATAGGAATACCTGTACAGGTCTCCAGGTCCCCACGCCGCCATTTTAACCAAGAAAGAAAGAAAGAAAGTTTTTATTTGAGACACGTATAGTTATATAGCTAGGTATAAAAAAAAAGAAAAATTACAAATTAAAAAAATAAAAATAGGAATAAAGAATAAAATAAAACTTATGACTAATTTAATATAATATACCTACACCAAAACACGAAGAAAAATTAACACTTAGGATAAAAAAAAAATCAAAACAAAAAAAAAATAAACATTAAAATACATAAGGCGTATCCCTAAAAGGTATACCATTCAGCGTAAAAAGTGTTAACACACCTTATGCTGATTTTCAATGGTACCCTTTGAACCTGACTGATGTGGCGATGAACAAGTTTATAAATACATATTGTTAATGTGACAGTTAAATTATTTAATAAATAAATAAAAAAAATATAAAAACAATTAAAAAAAATTGTGTATGTTAAGTTATATAGTGTAAATATGCATAAAAAAATAATGCATCAAATTTATATTTATCTGTAGACTACCCAACCATTTAAATCGAGATACCAAAGTTTTATTAGCATCAGTTTTTCCCTAATAAACAAAAAGTTGATGGAACAACATGACTTAGGTACGCAACGGAGCCATACCAGTAAAGGTATCAAAGTGAGCTCTTTACATTAAACTGTTGTATATATGTTGGATAGATTGTTTCAGTGTGTAGAGTGTGTGGTGACCAAATTACAGAACTGTATTCCAATTGACTTCTGACTAAAGCGTTATACATAACTGTAATTGCTTTAATTTTTGTAAATCCCCTTACCGTACGAAGAACAAAACCCAAATTTCTAAAAGATTTTTTACAACATTTAGTAATATGATTGCGAAATGTCAACTCCCTATTGATAGTAACCCCCAAGTCATCAATTTGATAGTTATATATTATGGGATTATTTGCACGATATTGTAATCGTTACGCATTTTGAAAGGTTAAACTGTAAATGATTACTTTTGCTCAAGGTAACTACACTGTCAATGGCCTGTTGTAATTTCTCAGTCATGCTCGGTTTTTATTCAGTCTAAAGAAATTTATTCTCATTACGACAACGTCATTTAGATGAGAACTTATAACTAACTTATAAATATAACAATTCGTTCGGATCAGCATAAGAGATGAGATAACAGTTTCAATTAATTATTTTAACAGTGAATCGTTACACAGAATATGGTTATAAAGTCGAGATTTAAACATAGAAACATTTGTTAGAGATTTTACTTGTTTAGGTAAATTGTTATAAAGTTTTGCTTCCTCAAAAATAATCATCTTTTTTCCACTCTTAGTTCTACATAGTTTTAGGCAGTATTAGATGGCTAGCACGTCTAGTTGCATATTTGTGTAATTGACCTCTGCTTTCGAAAGATATTTCTGTATGTATTTTTTTCTAAGATTTTACGTATAAGAATACAAGTAGTGTAGTTGTGTATTTGCTTAATATTCATTAATTTGGTTTCTTTATAGACTTTATTTATTTATTTATTCATGTACCAAAAACAAGTAACACAGAAAAAAAAGAATAACAAAGAAACAAAGTGATACACAGGAAAGCTTATCTCTATGAGAGATCTCTTCCAGCCACCCTGGAGTGTGAGTAATATTATGTTAAATTAAAGGTAAAGTAGGTACATCTTTAGTTTTGTTGACAAAGAGAATAATTAAATTGCGTTTTATTTATTACTTTACATAAACATACTTAAATATACATAAAACTATTATAAACTACATATTAATTTATATAAATACAAATAATATATATGTATATACATATACAAAGTAAAATACACATGTATAAATGTATATTTAATTTCTAATGTTGTGATGAAACTGTAAGATAATATTTTTTTTATCTGAATTTTAATGTATGTACTGAATAGACTTTATCTGAAGGTGTTAAATAAGGGTAATGAAAAAGTAATTTAATTATTTTATTTTGAGCAATTTGAAGTTGGGCTATATTGCTTTTTGATGCCACACGTTATTACACGTGACAGTTTAAGATCAGCCGCAAATAGTAAACAATTTGTCCTATTTACCACTTCCGGTAGATCGTTTATCATTAATTAATTTATTTATTCAAAAACTTTATTGTCTAACTACACACGTAGATACAAAAGATGGACTTAATGCCTAAAGGCATTCTCTGCCAGTCAACCTTTAGGCAAAGCAGAAAAACGTGAAGATGGTAGCAGTATGTAAAAGTAAAAATATACATATAAATTTCTATTGATATATAAATAATATATACACATATATATAGATACATATACATACACACACATACCAATAGATATACATTATATACCAAAAATAGTAATAAAAACAGAGACTTAATACAGATTCTGAGCAAAATGTTCCTGTAAACGACGCCTGAAAAATGCCCTTGTAGGTGCCTTTCTTATTTTTAGTGGAAGTTTATTCCACAATCTGATAGATTTTACATTAATATGAACTGCAAAGGACTTACTTCCCTGACCTTGTGTAATATGCGTCCAATTAAAATCCATTATAATCTACATATTGTTGTGCTCATATAACTAGCAAAGAAATATAACAAATGGGGAGTGAAACCAACACACGCCAGCTTTTTAAGTAGTACATCGTTATCAACGAAATCAAAAGGTTTTTTTAAGTCTAAATATACCACATCTACTTCACCGACGTCCACTGTTGGTATAATATTTGTTATATAGCTTAAAAGATTGGTGCTAGTAGTTTTTCCAAGTCGAAATCAATGCTGGGCTTCTGAAAGTTGTGGACTAACCTAATTAAATATATTACTATGAATGGCCGACTCAAATACTTTAGCAGGTGTCGATAATATTGCCACAGGCCAATATCCCTCCACGTTTGGTCCTGAAGTCCCTTTCGCTACTGGTATACCTCGGGTACACAGCTGTATGATTACTTGATGTCCTGGTAAATAGTAAAGTTTGTATCTGTATAAAGAACTTTATTTTTCATAAGAATTTTACATTCACTTAAAATGAGATACAAGGAATATTTGCAAGATAACAATTTTAACAAACAGGCCGTTGGACATGACAGACTTGCTACATTTACTACTACAGCGAGGATATCAAATATTATTTTAATTTAACCTTAAACATCCCTATACTACTATCACACAGTTTTATTTCGTCTGGTAGTTTATTGAACAGTTGTACTCCCTCAAACAGAATTGTTTTTTACCATAATTAGTTCTCACTTAATTTGAAGTTTGTATTTATTCCTTAAATTCGAAATCACTATCTCCGATTGAACGGAACCTGTTTTAATTTGTTTGATTAAAATGCATGTTTAGTATGTGTATAGTTGTAATATATTCATTATTCTTGTTTCATTATAAAGTTGTGCCGTTGGAGTATCTCTTTCCAATTCGGATTACATGTGAATGTAAAGAACAAGTCTGGTCGATCGTAATGGCGTACGTAAGTCATCGCATCTTGTATATATTTCTTTGTTTCGTGGACTGAAGATATAGCTTGAAGGTAAAATGAAAGCATTACCGATGTCATTGGGGATGAAATTTCCATCGATGTTTGCAACAACAGCTTCTCGTAAATGAATGTATTCTTCCGATCGTAATTTAGTCTGATTGTGTCTAATAAATAGCAAGCGTACGCTTTCAATCTTAGCATACATATCAACAATGTATTGATGGAATAACTGGCAATATCGAAGCATATAATTGTCCTAATTTAGTCTAACCAACCAAATCAATCGGTGTGCGTAGTAGTTCATTGAACTAACTTTTTTATTAATTTTAGCACCTAAAAACATTAAAAAATAAAATGAAATTAAAATGCGTACATATAATGAGAAAATTAAAAGAAATAGAAGAAAAAATATACTTTATTGCACTCGAAATCACAGAAAATTTAACACAAGGGCGGCCTTATCACTACAAGCGATTTCTTCCAGTATATATAATAAATAGTTAATTGTTAAATTCACCGGTATTTGGATCACACTGTTTGATGTTAATGTGATATTAATCCCGTCCTCAAAATATTAATGGATATTTTAGTGCGTCGTATGAACGGTGTAGATCCGAAATTGTAGTGACAGCGTTGTCTATAATTTATATTTTAATTTTTATATCTCATCAACAGTTGGAGCGTTGAATCTGCATGCATGCATAGCATGTTCACCTAATGGTACTTCGTCAGCTTTTATAACGATTTGATAGTTGTCATTTTGCAATCGTGGCGACTCTTTAAATCAATCGAATTATAAAAATAATAATAAAATCCGTTTATTGTCAGAAATATAGTAACCATTGAAATACATAGGGATAGAATAAAGAAAACATAATACATAATATGCTTACGCAGACAATAGGAGCTGATTCAAATGCATGTTTTCCTGGACCGTGGCCCTGGGAAACGCTGGTTTTCAGTCAGTCCCTTATACAAATACTTAAAATAGGAGTAACATTATCCTACCCACGCCACTATTATTATAATTATAATTAACAAACGTTGGAAAATATGCAATTAGAAATAAATGATGATAGCAAACTTATAAAAAAAGAAGTAAATTTAATCCAAACAGAAATTATCAATAGAAAATGCTAAAGTGTGTACATGTACTCTTGCATGAGTGTGCATGTGTATTTGTGTGTGATTGGAGAAGTAAGGGGGTAATCTTAATATTTCCAAAATTCTTTAGCGGCAGGCATTTGTAGTATGCGTGTCTAACATTTTCTGCAGCATGTTGTTTTTTAAGCAAGGTGATTTTATATTTGCCTTTAAAAGACTCTGTATTACGCGTTTGCGCCGTGCCTTCCTGCTTTGCGCGTTGTTGAGGTTAGATATTTTCGGTGGCATTCGGCTGAAAATAATTTATTTATTTATTTTTGTTTATTGGTAATCCAACAGCGATACAGTAATTTTAGGATAGTTACAATATAGCTATAAACAAGTCCAATTTAGGATTACACAAATTTACAGTTCTACGGTAACACTCGAGCGTACAATTAAGGATAAAAAGAAAAGGGAAAAAAAAGCAAAGCAAATGGTGATAAATACAAAAGTGTGTGCGTTTTTAACATAAATAAAATAAATAAATAAATAAAAATAAACTTTATTGACTCAAGGATTACATAACAATCAAGTTGCAAGGGCCCCTGTACTAGGTGCAAACCCGTATTACTGGGTGCCCCGCTCATCCACCAAGACAACTAGAAACTCAACAATGATTTTGTTAGTACATAAAATTACAGGTTACGATGTATCTTTATTATTTCTTTTTTAAGTTGGTTTTTAGTAACATGGTTCAGGTCTAGATGTGAATAAAATTTATTGTATGTATTTGCTAAACGAATAAGTATGGAATTTTTGGCGTAGTTTGTCTACATGTTGGGCACGTGCAGCAACGCCGTGTGACGAGTTCTGTATCTCGGTAATGATTTGATTATTAAAAAAAAATTACTGAAAAAATTGCTATTATAGCCCATTTAAACAGTGCAAAATAATTTTAATAGGTTGAATAAAAATAATGAAAGAAAACATTTGTACAATTATTAAAAAAAATGTTGGGAGCTTTGTACCATTCTTTTCATACATATATATATTAATTAACTTTCAGACATAGCATTATTAATCTCCGTTAAATTATCTGCAATATGGTAAATAAATTTTTGTAAATCAATTAACAATATAATAAATCAATAACATGAGAATCAATCGCTTAATAAAAAGATGGATAACCAGATTCATTTCCTGGGGCCTAAGTACCTCAAGACCATCAAAATATATATATATATATCATACAATGTGATTTGATGCATAGCAATTTAATAATATAAATATGTAATAATACTTAGATGTATATGTTACAGTTAAAACCAATTTTTAGATAGAACGCGTTTTTCCTAGTTAAAACCCGTTTTTACTAAAAGCTTTTGTTAAAACTAGAAATAAAAAGTGACAACTAGAATTAACCACTGATATAATTGATTTTTTCTGATAAAACTAGTTATCACTCCGAGCTTTACTTACAACTAGCACTGGAGAAACTTATTTGAATTTTGTGATTAAAACAAGATAGTATTTTAAAAATATTTATTAAAAAGATCTAGGGCATAGAAACATAGTACCGTACCTAGTAATAAAAATCTTAGGTAACATCAGCATAAAATACTTGCTAAGTCGACAACATTAATTAAAAGTAAATAAAATAATCAAACAAATAAACAGAACACAACCATAAAATTTGAAAAGGTACATAATAATAATATTTTTAAGGAATATGGATTAACATACAATAAAAAAATAATCAAACAACCTTAAAAATAACAAAGATGACGATCTACTTGTTATTACATGACAAACTATCATGGCATTTTGAATTACAAAGGTACCAATTTTCTTGCATAGACACCTTTTTGACGTACATCCTTTCTTACTTCCCTAGCAACAGTTCTTAAAGGTAAACTTGTATTTGGAACGTCTTCTTCATGCAAAAATTTTTCTTTGCACTTGTCCAATTCTGACCTGAAAAGCAATATTTTAATAGTCAGTTTTATCTAATAGCAATAAAATTATATGATAAAACAATTAAGCTATACGTGGTAGGTACATACATGCAATATAATTTGTCGAGCATTCCATATTTCGTTCCAATCTTGTGAAAACCCTGATCATCCTTTTGAAGAACCACTCCGACTATATTACGTAGATTTGCTTTTGCTCTGTCGACATCTGGGATTTGTATAATTACATTATCGCCGATTTCTACTGGAACGTGTATTTTATCTGAAGCTAATGTCATTCTGATGGCCTGTTTTTTTAAGTTTTGATGTGCCGCTTCTCTGGATGTCATTATTTGTTGATTCACATTTGTAATAACTTCGATGTCTTTGTCATTTGGTGGTATTATTAGAGGCTCTTCAGCCGTAGATGCTCCAGCTTCAATATCATATTGACTGGCTTCTACTTCGACTGGTGATTCTTCACTTGTTTTGGATGAACTCTCTGCGGCTTTTTGTTTGCCTCCAGTTATAATCTGATGCTCTCCACTACAACTAGCTACAGGCTCAGTTTCTGCAGTATCTGTACTATCCGTCATATTTATTTTATTTAACGCATTTTCTAGATCATCTTCATCTCGTATATCCTCAATAACATCTCGAGGCAAAGTCGAAGTCATAAGCCCTATTCGCGGTTCTATACCAAACATTGCTTTGTATGGTGATTGTTTGATACCCGAGTGAAGTGCCCGATTTTTCATAAACTGTACAAACCGAATACCATTCGACCAATTTGTAGTATTGTTATCTTGCATCCATGAAGCTAACTTTTTCTCGATGTCTTGATTAGCCCTTTCAACAGATCCTTGACTTTGGCTGTGCCTTGGCTTTCCATGGACCAATTTACACTCAGGCCAAAATGAAACGCGTTCATTTATAACAGAATTTACAAATTCTCTTCCGTTATCGGAGTGTAAGATGCAAGGAATACCAAATGTTAAAAATAGTATATCAGTCAACTGATACGCCACCTCTACGGCTCTTTTACTTTCCAGTATATGCAAAATCATTATGTATATTTCCTAGGAGAGCAATATCGTGCGGTAACAGCCACGTCTCCTGCAGTGCTATGATGTCCGCCGATACACACAGTCGCCTAATGCAGTCAAAAGATGTTGTTACACTTTTACAATTAAAACTAATCATATTTACGGTTCTATCCATAACTTAGTTATATATTGTTAACTCGTATATCCAAGTCTTTTTTATTTTTATTTTTGAAGTCAATAAAGCGACGATAAGAGATGCCTTCTGGCCAGAACTCATCGTTCATCAAGACACTTTCTTTGTGTTTAGGCACAAATATTTTGTAGCTGTTATATTCTTTTTGTATTTACATTATCATTTTCTCTATTTTTATTAGTAAGCCTGTCTTTTCCTGAATATAATCCATAATATCCTTCTCAGATACCTCTTTATCCACGTTATAAATATACATAGGCACACATACCTGTGCTGCCTTAAACTTAGCTTCCGGTTTAGTAGTCGCTACTCCTCGATTGCCAGCAAATCTATTGTAGGCTAACTTTTTCTTTCGTTTAAAGACCGTCCATTCATTTGTACCAAAATTTTGTGTTTTATTTTCATTTTGCAACACATGCGAAAATGTTTCTCGAAATGCATTATTTATTTTGTTCCCGGCGTCCGTATGTAACGATTTACTCGCTTGACCGCTACGCTCAGGTGTGTGATGAGTCACGGTCCTAACGGCTTTGTCCTCCGCGCTTATCGCCGCTGCAACGGAATACTCAGCTGATCGACCGCCACACGAATCCGGTACTTTTTGTTTATTACCCTCAAGTTTTTTAGAATGATTTAAAGATGTCGATGATGATTTTAATAATTCCACTTCCAACTTCAAATCACATATATCTTCAGAGGTAGCATACTTTTCCTTAATATGTTTTATTTCAGCTTGCATTATCAATAGGTCTTTTAATAACTTTGTTACATCAACATGGTCAAAAAGAACCGGTGGAAGTTTTTGTAAATCCTTAGCAACAAAAATTGGGATTTGTTCAGGATCAGTCTCCTTTAACAAACAAATGATATCATCAATATCTCTTAAATTCTTACCGTCGCGTTTTCTTTTTATCTTTCGTTTGGGAGTAGGTATGGAATCAAACAATAGTGTTTTTGCATTGCAAATTTCCTCTTCACAAAACGCGGAAATACAAATTCTGCTTATGCTTTCTTCATCCATCACATCCAGTTTATTGCACACAAACGAAAGTAGCTCGTTAATCACAATATTACAGTTTGTACACGATATGAAGTTTCAGCCGTTATTGAAGTTGTCATTTTGCTAATCACGCAGTGCCCGATAACACGTACGGTGCTAATGACAGCTCGACGACGACGTCTGACGATATTGTGACTATAAATTGATATGTAAGCTATCCTATCTTTCAAGTTTAGTTTAGTAGTTTAGGAGTCCATCGCGGACAAAGACGTGATACGAATTTTTTTATATATATAGATAAATTTAAACAAACAAAGGGAATTTTGTATATATAGATAGAAGATAGTAAAAATCTTAATTTGCTTAATCAAATTAACGATTAATGATTAATTTAAATAATAAACTTTATTGAAAAAACACAATGCTTACATAATAGATAACACAATTAACCTTCTTAAACTTAACTTAAACTATTACAATGTTTTCCATTGGTTGAGGTGCATTATGGTTTTAGTAATTTTAAAATTTTGATTTTCTTTGGACCCCACACTAGGAGACCTGTATCGTGGGGCACGAAAACGAAAGTCATCACGATTATGATTTTTTTTTTAAATTTACAGCTCCCTCTGACGTGGTCACCCGTGACGTGGAGACCTTGTTTACAGTTGTGATTTACTATTTCATAAGGGCCTTTCATTCCTCATACTTGTTCTTTCTTTCATTCATCCCTTTCATACCTCTGACCAGTGTACCTAGCTTAGGTCTATCTTATTTTTCTATTTTTTTGGTGGTGGAGGAGTTGACACAATTAATTTCTTTATTCCAAAACAACACAATATCCAATTACATTATCAAATAAACAATTTCAATAATTTAAAATTCAATAATAATTAAAATTGTATAAAACATTAAAATTAAAATATAAAATTGGCTAAAATTGTATACAATAATAATTGGATAATTGGAATAGACATTGATAAATAATTAGAATAAAACATTTAAAATTACAATAATTAATAAAAGGCAGCCTTAGTAGGTTCCTTTCAAATTTGATTAGCTTGGACAGTGGAGGTGAGCGTATAACGCGCGTTAGTTAAGGGGCCCCTTAAAACTACACTTGGGTCGCAAGTCCCAGGCACTGTTGAAGCTCCTCTCCCTGCAACGCGATGGACCCGGCACCCGCACCGTGAATCCATGGAATGCTGAGAAGTTTCGTCTCATGAAGTACAATTAATAATAAATAATTAAAATTACAATAAATAATTAAAATTGTTAAAATGACGGTGCAATCATCCTCTTGTCTTGGGTCTTTCGTTTGCGGTTCGGACTATTTTCATGCAAAACCGTTCTAGGTGCGGCCTGGAGTGTCCATCTGCGTTTAATTTCGCTACATTTTGTTAATTAATTAAAATTCCAGTACTTATCACGATTACGATTAAAATAAATCAAATTATGCAATTGATTGAGAAATTACTCGATTAATGGTCTGGTCTAATTACACTTGAAGGATTTAGGTTAGATGTTACTGTAGAGCGAAGCAATTATAAGCAATAATTGCTTCAAAATAATAAGCAATAACCTAGTCAAGTTGTCTCCGCTTGAAGCAGATGAGAGCTCCTATCAGTCGGCTGTTGGATAGTACGAACATGTGTAGTCACCGGTGTAGAATGTTCCCTTTGAGATGAAATTCGACCTGCTTATAGCCAGGATAACCCAGGTATCACTAGCGGTATATTCGATATGCTCGCTTTACATTATCTGAAGTATCATCTTTTCTACGGTACTTTACGTTTCAGTTAAGAATATGCCTCTAATCCTTGTAATGGCGCGAACTAATCTCAGTGGTACAGTCTTTGTAATCGCGTATCAATTAGCGCAATAGACCTAGCACTACTGATACAGTAGTTTGTTCAATGCTTGCATTTTTTATCGATTCTTTAGTGAGGATATTAACATACTCGCGTAAGCCTAATAGCTTTCTCTGTTATTATTATTTTTAAGGCACCCGTTATCGAAGGGTGTTGTTGCCATCCCTATCTTTCTTGCGTTACAAGAATTTTAATAAATTTTATATGTACAACAGTACAATTTTTACTGAAACTACTTAAAATTAATATTGAATATTTAACAAGTACGAGAACTGTCTCTATCCTTGTCGACGGCAGAGTGGAATTTATAACGCCATTTCAATTAATAAATTAGGTTAAAACGTATGTATTGTAACAGTTAAATTACAATTCGCTAAAATCATCATAAAGTTAATTTACAATAAATAATTAAAGTAAAAAAATAAATTTGAAATTATAATTAATTAAATTTGAAATGGACTATCTATTTATTTAAAAGGTACATCAATATCACACATATTCAACACATAAACAAACAGATAAAATAGAAAAAAAATCTAGGACCTGAGTGACAATTACAGATGTACACAACATTCACATTAAGAAAAAAATAAAACTTATTGCCTACCTGTTGAATTAAAGTGATAATTAAATAACTCTCTGGGATCCTGTTGTAAAACCGTATACATTGCCCCACAATGGAGTTACTGACTTTATGTAGTCGAGTAACAGGAGTAACAAGTTTATGTTTGTTCCTTGTACCAATGCTATGAGTATCACATTTTCTCATGAAATCATTAATATTTTTTCGTACATACATAACATTGCAGAATATATATTGAGAAGCAACAGTCAATAATTTGATTTCTTTAAATTTATTCCTTAACGATTCTTTAGCTCCTAGGTTATAGTTTTCGCGAATAGCCCTCTTCTGTATCACAAATATAGTATGGATGGCGGCTGCGTTGCCCCACAGCATAATACCGTATGACATTATACTGTGAAAGTAACTGAAATATACTAAGCGAGTAGTATCAACATCGGTACATAATCTAATTTTTTTGACCGCGAATGCCGCAGAACTCAGTCTACTCGCCAATCCGCTAATATCCTAATAACCTTTTAGTATATAAAGGGGACAGTCACTTTACTAGGTATTGAAAGAGAAATTTGTGTTTTTCTGAAATCTGTGTTCTAGGGACTGACGGGTGGTGCTAGGGACTGATGCCATACATTAATTGTACAATAAAACCACATGTTTGTCTCATATAATTTGTATTTATTTGTCAAATCTCACTTTTATCTTATTCATACACATATTTATTTCAAAATGCAATCATATTAGAGACAAATCAGTCTTAGATAATCTCTCTTACCAACAATAATAACAGTACCATTAATACTTAAATATCTTACAAAACATAACGCTATCATAACAAAGAACAAAAATATTTTCTTATTCTAAATAATTATACTTTAAAAACACATAATTTCAGTTTTATTTTTCCTATAATTAAATAGAACAACAATCAAAATCTAGAACACGTAGTTACATGTCTTACTTTTCATACACATTGACTGGCTCGTTGAGTTTATAAAATTCAAAATTTTTCTTAATTACTAATTTAGGAACTGGCAGTTTTTCTATCTCATCACCGTAAGGCAGTAAATTTAGCAAGGCAGTAAACTTAACTAAAACATAATCACCCCTGACATACTTTGTTTTAGTTATTTCTTGCCAGTCTCGACTTCTGCTTGCTAGTGGTATATCATCTTGCTAATCTGAGAATACCTCAGATACGTGTAGGCGATTTGCATTGGTCTGGTATCGTAAAATCCCTAATTTAAATCACAGGCATTATTACAGAAACAAGTCAGTGATTTCATTTCAAGTTTATTCGGGATGAAAACATTACCCCTCACTTGGTACACCAAGAGCGTACCTTTGAAAGCTTTCTGCTTATGCTAATTCTCCTTGATTATTTTATTCACTCTCTCAATATCGGCATCTCCAATACTAGAAATCTTTATACCTGGACATTTTTCACAAAGTACGCCAACAAAGTCATGTAAATTTGTTATGTCACTTTTATGAGCTATAAGTTGATCTGCATTATGTTGATTTATATATATATCGATCCTGGCCCGGGCAAGTACCAATGTGATTTTTCCGAATCATATGTACTTTCTAAGATTATTTAGACATCACTGATTAATCTGATTCCCAAAAAAAGAGGGTTGATGTCAGGCAGGCGGCCGGTCGTAAAACAATTAGCCAAAACTATTCATAACATGTAAGGCAGACCCTGGCTAAAGCTGGGCAATTGCCAGGTAGAAGAAGAAGATATATACATAATCATGGAAACAGAACAGTGACAAAATATGACTACAGACTAAGATGTTAAATGACAGATTTTATTCTTAAATCTGGACAAGGCATCAGAAAATACGTCCAAATGCGGGATCTTAAAACATATTTGGTTGTACTCAGAGCAGAGTCTTTTCATAGGACAGTGCCGACATTGGTGCGAGTGACCGTTGTATAAAATATTTTAAATAGGCTTTCTAATTGGTACTGAGATGTTAACATACGACAGAAGGTACTCACTTTTGACTAACCCGTTGATAATTTTATATAAAAATATTAAGTCATGCATTTGCCGAAATTTAGACAAGGTTTCCATTTTAAAGAAATTTAAACGAGTGTCATATGGTTATAATTAAATTTCAAATAAACAATAAGTAGTACAGCTTCATCTCATCTTGTTCTTTTCGTTGGCTAGTTTAACAGTTTTCTTGAAAAACCTCTCGAAACACGGCCTGCAGCGTTTGTGGGATATAATTTCGGCTAATGTAGCCTCCATAAATTTCTTTCCTGTGCTTTCCTCTCTC